CCTTTTCTAAACATCACTTTTTAGTGGCTGCACAATATTCCCACCCATGGATACACAAAAATCCATTGAACCAATTCCTGTTGCTGGACACTCAAGTTGTTCCCAATTTTTCATGATTACAAACAATGCTTTTTCTGAATTTTAGATCATAACTTTGGCACAGATTCTAAGGAGTGGCATTAGAATCAAAGGGTGTGAGTCTTGTTTATGACTTGTGGCACATGTGGCCAGACCACTTTCCAAAAGGGCTGTGGGGAGGAACTTTGGTACTGTGATGGACATCTAGATTCTAGAAAACCCGTCCTACAGTGGAGAGGAGGAGAAGCACCTAAGTCGCTCAAGGGGCTCTTGGCCAGGGGGAGGGTCCTTTGGGAGCGGCTGGCTCAGTCCCTGAGGCCAGGATGTGCCCATCATGTGGGCTCTGAGTAAGCTCATGCTAAAGCCAGGAAGGAAAAGGCAGCGGCTCTGTAAGCCACGCAGGCCAGCCTCAGCCATGCAGAACTGGGCGGGATGCTAGCCTCCACCATGCCCAACAGGAGCTGCTCTGCAAAATGGGTTTTCTCTTAGTTTCTATGAAAGTTCCTTCTGAAATCTGAAGTCTTGGCTTCAGCGTGCTAGGGCATTATCAATAGGACCGAAAGAATCAGACAAGGAGAGTGTCTGGGCCGTCTCTGGAGACCGGAACTGAGACCCTGGAAGCCAGGCTCGGAATTTCTCCTTGGCCTGGCCTCCCTTCCCTTTGAGGCCCACATCGTCTTTGAGGACCCCGCTGTGCTAGGAAAAAGTACAGCCTGACTGATTACCAAACAAAGCCCTTTAGGCTTGTCCTGTGGGCAGGCCAGGACCCCCGTACATAACTCCCTTTACCCATGGTGAGTGCTGAGCTTGGGCCAGCAGCTGTCCCCTGAGCAGGGCTGTGGGCTCCTTACCTGCCAGGGCTGGGATGGTGACCCGGTTCCATTCCCATGGCTGGTCGTACTCATCCGCGGGCCTGTCATCATCCTGGGGCAGCTTGCTCTCCCGCAGTCGGGGGCTGACTGTGTTCTCTGAGTCCGAATCAATGCTTTGGCCTTCGGGTTCGTAAGGGGTGTCATATAACTGGATGCCTTTGTGCTGGGACCGGATGCTCTCCTGTCTCTGAAACTCTGCAGGCAAAAAGGAAGGAAGCAGGGATGTAATGGATGCACAGCATTGCTTCCTCACCTGGGACCCCCCACCCCCAGGTAACACCCATGAGTTCAGAGCCGCCAGCTGGGGTGGTGAGTACAGCAGGGTTGACAGGCCCTGTATTTTACAGCTCTCCCTGCCCCCCCCACACACAGCCTCTTCACTCTCACAGGGCAAGGCTTGCTCACAAAGATCACAGACTCTCAGACCCAAGGACAGTGCCAGAAGGCGCCCTGCCTCGGTCCACTAGTCAATCTCAGTCTTAAAGGGAGACCAGATGTGGACATGATGTGCCAGGTGTGTTCTGACACCCACCAGGACACACAGAGCTCCTGCCCCCTTGCTGGACAGACGAGTGGGGGTCTTCCCACTAAGGCAGTTCTCCACCCTCTCTGGACTTTCAGGCCCTGTTTGTACAATGAGGAGACAGGGCCAAATGATCCTAAAGTTCCCACCCGGACGCATATTCATTTAAGAGAACTACCAAGCAGAGAGCCTTCCACAGGGGTCCAGATGCCAGCATTTTGTCCCCTGCAAAGCCCCCTGAGTCCTGAGTGATCCCCTCACTTCATTCTAACACCCCCCTCCCTGACCCCCAGGGCCTGCCTGTCTTCTACCAGACTGAACACATCTAGGGATTTTGGAGAACATGTCCAATTTCACTTCTGAAATTAGCTCTGGTGTGGGCTGAGGGCTGAGCGCTCATCTAGCCAAGGTCCCAGGCAGGGACGTTCATTTCAGCTGCTGCTCATTCCAGGGAGGCAGTGGAGGCTAGGATGCTAAAATGAGTTGCTCCTTGGTCAAAAAGGGAAACCTGACTTGCTTTTTGATTGTGGATACCCACGGGGCAGAAGACACGAGCTGGGAATGTGGGGAAGGTTTACTATAGAGGCTGAGAGTCTCAGGAAGCGCACTGTTTCCAGGAGACACACACTGCAGCTCAGTGCAGGGCCTGGGAGGGGCAGGGCAGGAGGAGAGAGAGATGGCATTTGATTTGACAGCACTGACAAGTGGAAACAGGAGAGGAACGGTGTTCCCCATGGTAGTCCCAGGGCAAGCCAAGGCAATGTGGCTGGAAAGAAAGTGCTTGCTGCCTAAAAAACTTTAGTTTTTTATTGTGGTAAAACATACGTGACAACATTTCCATTTTAGCCATTATTAAGTGTACAATTCAGAGGCATTAAGTGTATTCACACTGTTGTGCAATCATCACCACCATTCACCTCTAGAACTTTTTTTGTTCTTCCTCTGTAACTTTTTTTCATCTTCCCAAACGGAAACTCGGCACCCATTACACACTAACTCCCCATTTCTCCCTTCCCCAGCCCCTGGCAACTACCACTCCACTTTCTGTCTCTGAATTTGCACCAGACTCATCAGACAGGTGGAATCATTCAGTATTTGTCCTTCTGAGACAGGCTTATTTCACTTAGCGTAATGTTTTCAAGGTTCTTCCATGTTGTAGCGTACCTCAAAATTTCAAGTCTTTTTAAGGCTGAATAGTATTCTATTGTATGTATATTTACTGACCACTTTTGCTGGAGCACCAGGTCCAAGGAAGGGAGGGAGTGGAAGGGAGATGATACGAAAGGGGTGAGGGTCGTGAGAGTGAGTGGCTTACATGTGCTCTTCAGGCCTTCCCCAAATCAAGAGTTCTGATGGCATTGAGGTACAGCAGAAGCCCACAGGGGTTGTGTGCCTTGAAGGGCAGCTGATAAAACAGACACGAATGACGTCAGCCCTTCCACATAAAACTCTACCCCGCACACACGCCCTGATAAAACACAAGTCGATGACGTCGTGCTGGTGATCCTTAGTGTTTACAATACCTAACTTTATTGTAGTAGCTTACAAACTTCATTTAGTGACTTCGTCACTTTTGCCATTTTCGAGTACTATTTGGGTTATTTACTATTTTTATTTATGGTGCCTTTCTTCTTAGATTAAATAAATTCATTTAAAAGGGAAACTTTTTACCATCATCCCACAGCCTTTCTCTTTGGCCAAAAATAGATGCTAATCATACAACGAATGAATGAGAACAAAACCAACTAGGTAGGTACTAGCCTGCAGAGAGGCTGAGCCCAGGGCTTGCTTTTTCTCTGCTGAAAAGGGAGACTTGCAAGTATTGGAGAGCTGGTCAGGGGCACAAGCAGCAGAGACACTTTTTTGGCAAATAATAATTTTCTCTCTCTAGAAAGGGAGAGAATGAAAAGAGAAAAAAAGCCTTCTCACTGTGGGTTCTCAGGCCACCTAAACTCATGTCTCCTATGAAAAGGTGTCCGACACTTTGGCAAAGCCCGGCTCTTATTGGGTCCCATGAGTCAACTGGGATCACTTGTTAGTTTTGAGGATGATGCTTCCCTTTTTACAGAGAAACAAAAAGGAAAGAAAAGAGAAGGTAAGAGCTATAAAATGGTAGGACTGTCCTTTAAGGTGAAAACCAGCTGTAAAGAACTTGGACAACTTTGTAAATCACTAAATCCACCAAACTATCTGATCCGCTTATGGCGTTGTAGGGTCCTTGTCATCCGCATCAGTTTCCCTGGTTGTGAGGAGTGAAGTCTAGCCTCCTGCCTGCAGAGTTCTGAGAGCCAAGGTCACCACAGCCGATGCGGCACTGACCTGGGAAAACCACCTTCCCCTTACCCTCCTTCACAAGCAGGACCAGCAACCACTACCGTGCACTCTACAGTTCGCAAAGCACCTTCCGTGAGAATCGCTGTTTAATCTAAGGGCATCATGCAGCAGCTCACAGATGCACTTCCATTGGCCCACAACCACCAGGAGCGCCTCTGCTCCCTTCTCATTGTCACAGAGCTTGGCTCCAAACAGACACTCGGGGAATGCAGGTGGGACAAATGAACGAGGACTGACAGCCAGAAACCACTCTTTACCCCCAAATTCCAGTTAATTTATGAAAGCTCCTGAGCAATGATAAAGTACCTGGGACAATATGCCAACTGCATACAGTTTAGTATTACACAGTATTCAGGAGAGACACGCACTCTCCGTAAATACCAGCCTAAAAGGAAAACATGTGCAGTGAACAGATTAGCTACTAAATCAAAGGGACTTGAGCGTACACCTCTCTCACAGGATTTATTGTTCCAAAAGCGTTTTCGCCTCACCGAAGCTGGGTTAGTAATGGCATGCAGTTAGGGCAGGAGATGTTGTAATGGTAAATCATTAAAATGCACCTCACCCTGTATTACACGGTGAATTCAAATATTCATTAAGGCCCCAACAATAGGGAACAGTTAAGTAAATTATGGCGCATTAACTGGATGGAATATTAAACAGCCATTAACATGATAAATCTGAAGATTATGTAGCTACATGGAAAAGCGTGCATGAAATTATGCTAAGCTAAAAAGTAAAATACAAGATTGTTTATGTGCTGAGGGCAAAGTATATAATGCAGGCTTTCTAAACAAGTTCTGGGCAACGTGAACCAGGCCCCAAAGGGAATTCTGCTCCTTGCTTAGGAAATGCTGAATATGGGCATTGCACATTTTGCCCATAACATCTAAACTCTGATGACAGTTACATTGTAAGTATGGACACACACAGATAAAGAGCCAATATAGGAAGGTAAATAGCTACTGTGTAGAGGAGAAAGGATTATTGCGTAATTATTTTTGAAAGTTGTTTTAAATAATGAATAAGGATACTGGTAGAGAAAAAAATGTAATTAAGACAGGAATACATGAAAGTAAATATGATTTTAAGCAGGTTGGACTTCCAGAAGCTGTGCATGTTCAGGAAGCAGCTGCCTTTCCCTGAGAAAATGCCTCCCAGGAGAGGTTCTCCAAGAGCCCTAAAAAGCTGAGGGCCACTGCATCAGGCCAGCTCACCAGACATCGCTGTCTCCTGCCTAATGACCAGGCCTGTCCTCCTTATTGCCCAGGCCAATCCGTGATGGTTCAGAGGCTGATCTAATGGGGGAGCCAGTGACCATATGTTTTAAGTCATAAGTTATGTGGATATCACCATCACATTCATGGAAAATGACCTTTAATATTGGGTGGCAGGCTGTAATTTCATGCCTCTTAGGCAGCAAGCAGAAACATTAAATTGACAGGGAGGGGATTTCTGTTGACCTCTGCAGTAGAAAGGTTTTCAAGTGGAACGTGAAAGATACAGCACTTTCTTTTCTTTTTTTTTTTCCTTTTTGTCTTTTTTCGTGTCCGGCAATGGATTGCAACCCTCAGTGTTGCGCCCGCACCTCGCTCAGCCAGTGAGCGGGAACCGGTCTGTATGTGGGATCCGAACCCTCGGGGGGAGCGCCGCCGCGCTCCCAAGCGGCGCACTGTAGCAGTGTGCCACCGGGCCGGCCCGATACAGCACTTTCTGTAAAAACTGCAAGAACTGGAAGGAATCCTAAAAATTTATCTGGGCACATTCACCAGGAGGGCTAGGCAGGTGTGCTGCCCACAGGCTGTGGATGTGGAGGGGCCTGCCCATGGGAATGTGGAGAAGGCAAGGGCTGGGGTAAGACAGATGCCATAATCTTAGTGAGGGACCCAAGACGAGCGCAGCACAACCCAGGAGCCTCCTGAGTGGATCTGATGGGGATTTAGAGATCCCCCAGACCACAAGCCACAAGCTACACTTTGCTCCAGAATTCAACAACTCTTTGCCACCCCTCACCTTTTAAAAATAGACTGTATTTTAGAGAAGTTTTAGGTCCACAGCTAAACTGAGTGGAAGGTACAGAGAGTTCCTGTATAACCCCTGCCCCAAACATGCATAACCTTCCCCATTATCCACATCATAATGATTGACACATCATTATTACCCAAAGTCCACAGTATATTAGTGTCTGCTCTTGGTGCTGGAGAGTCTTTGGGTTTGGACAAATGTTCCTATTCATTGCTCCTTCCCCCCAACTTTTGGCAATGACTGATCTTTTTACTGTGTCCATAGTTTTGCTTTTTCTGGAAAGTCATATAGTAGGACTCATACAGTATATAAC